CAAACAACTTCACATGATAAATATAAAAAGAAAAAATGATAAAAGAATACATCATGATAAGAATACACAAAATGATAATGATAATAAATATAAATAAAATCAATAAAATAACAAACAATAAAATAAAACAATGAAAACAATTAAATAATACAATATATAATAAATATTAATATCATTTATTTGAATCTTGTTTCTTAATAAAAAATAAATAATAATAAAATAATAAAAATAATAAAAAAAGTCAAGATTCATAACTTAAAAATAATTTAATTTTAAATTTAAAATAAAAAGAAGAACTAATAAACAATAATCAATCAATAATGAAATTAGGATATAATGAAATAATGATAGTATCAATGTATTTTGATGATATTAATGATTTTATTAATTTAGAAATAGGTGTTAAAAGATTTCAAGGAAATATGGAACGATTTCATTTTAATCCAATTCCATTAAATGAATATTCAAGAAAATTATTTACTAATATTGAAACATTTCATATTTATGAAGAAAATGATAAAATATTTAATGATGGAAAAATATTTAAAAAAATAATATGGTATTTAGTAAGTTATTCAACATATTTAAAAGAAAAAGAAGCATGGAATGAATGTAAAAATATAGAATATACAAAAGAAGATAGAAAGAAATATGGAAATACAATACCATCAGAAGTTAAATCACTTGGAAATGGTTGTTTTAAACAATGTTATGAATTAACAACAATTAATATACCAACATCTGTTAGTAAATTAGGAAATGGATGTTTTAAATATTGTTCATCATTAACATCAATTAATTTACCATCATCAATTACATCAATAGGATATAAATGTTTTAAATATTGTCCATCATTAACATCAATTAATATACCATCATCAATTACATCATTTGGATGTGGATGTTTTTATGGATGTGGATGTGTTGAAGAATTAAAGAAAAATGAAACAATACCAAGAAATTGTTTTGAATGGTGGATTCGAATGTGGTAAAACTATAACAGATGAAATACAATATAAATTGAAGTAGAAATAAATTATAATTGATTATCATTTATATTATTATTATTCTTTTCTTATTTATTCATTTTTATATTGGTGTATTATCATTTAGAATATGTTATTAACACAATCTAATAATTAACAGTTAAAAGAATAGTATTAATGATTTATGATAGATTATTTATAAAATAGTTAATTATGTATTGAAATCAATATATCAATATTGTCTAATATCTTACAAAATATGTTTGTTATGATAGAAATAATGTTATATAATATCAATCTTATTCTTTATTTCAATGTTTTTGAATTATTTAATCATTTCATTTTTAATTCTTTGATTAATTTAATCTTCTCTACATTCACTAACACACTGATAGAAATAACTACTTAGATTAATGTTTATCACTTTTATTATACTTTCTATTTGTTCATTTCTTATTTTCTTATTTAACATTACATTTAATCAATTATTTCAATTTCATTCATTTATTATTTTATTTCTTTGTTTTCTTGTATTTTTCATTATTTATTATTTATTATTCTTGTACTTTACTTCTTTTATTAATTTCTTTCTTTTGTTTATTATCTTTATTTCTTTCTTCTTTTATTATCTTCTTCTTTGTTTTTGTTTTATTTGTTTCTTTAACTTTATTTTTATTTGTATTGAATAGTATTTGAAGATACAATATCAGAAACATAACACAATTAATAAAATGAAATTAATCTTCTAATATCATTATTTATCATTATTTCTTTTATTAAAAATAAATAAATTATTGTTTAATTAATATGATTATTGTTATTCTTCACAGTATTAAACATTGATGTTTAATGTTATTTTATAATTCAATGAATTAAATGAAGAAGATATAAATTGTAGAATATGAAATAAGAATAAAACAAAAGAGATAAAATGAATAATAAAAATGATAATAGATTTAATGATATAAATTCATAAATAAATACATCAATACAGTGAATATTAATACAATGAATAATGAATAATAAAATAATTATAATAAAATGAATTATCAAAACAATGAAATGATGAATATATAAATAATTATCATTATTTAATTTATTTATTAATGTTTGTTAATTAAATATTCTTTTATTCATATTATCATCATATTTTATTTCTTTATTTTCTCTTTTATTTCTTATTTTATTTATTATTCTTGTTTATTATTTATTTATTTTATATCTTCTTTTCTTTATTTTTATTTTATTAATTTCATTTTCTTGTCTCATTTGATTTATCATTGTTTCTTCTTTTCTTTATTCTATTTATGTTCTTTATCTATTTATTTATCATTATTTATTATTATTCTCTTTGTTAATGTATTTATTATAAATATAATGTAATTTTATTTTGTTTGTTAAAATATCTTAATTATTTCTTATTTTGTTATCTGTTCTTTATTTTTATTTCATTTATCTTTTTCTAAACTTATCATTTTATTCTTATTCTTTTAATTATTCTATTTTACTTTCTTCTCTCTTATTTCTCTTCATTTTTATTTTCTTATATATTTTACATTTTCTTTTATCTTTCTTAATTATTCTTTATTTTCTCTTCTTTCTAATTATCTTTCTTATATTTCTAATTTTTCATTATTATACTTTCTTTATACTATTTTATGTTTATCTTCTAGTTAAATTACATTCATTTTATCTTCTATTTTCTTAAAATTATTTATATTCTTGTTTTTATTGTTTCTTCTATTTCTTTGTTTGTTGTTTGTTTATTTTATCTATTTATTGTTTTCTGCTTCTTCTCTTTTGATTTTTTCTATTTTCTTTATTTCTCTTATTCTTTATTAAAACATCAATTGATTTATTTATTTCAATTCATTATTACTTTATTTCATTATTATAATTTCTTGTGGTTATTCTTTAATTCTTTTCTTCATCTTTTAAAATATTCAATTTGATGATATTATTGATTTATTCAAAATAACTTATACTCATTCATTAGTGTGTTAGTTATTATTATGTTGTGTATTTATAAAAAATCAATGAAAAATAAAATAAAAATGAAGAGAAATGAAAAAGAAGGAAATGAAAGAAAAAAAAGTGAAATTAGGAATAGAAGAAAATGAAAAGAATAAAAGAAGAAAGTTGAGAATATAAAATGAAAGAAGTTAAAAAAGAATAATTCAAAAAGTGATAATAAAAGATGAAAAGAATGATGAAATAAAGGATGTATTTTTTATTACAGAAATTAGAAATATGAAATAAAAAAGTGTTCTAAAATCTGTTTTATTATTCATTTATATGAAAATTATGTTTGTTTATATTATGTTTTTGTTTTATCATTTTTTTATGAAAATCAATTAAAAAAAATCAAAACAATCAATAATCTAATTGATCAAATAAATAAAATGTAACATATTGTATTTATTTATTGATTTTCATTATTCTTTGTATTCTTCTTTTGTTTTATTTTCAATAAAAATAATTTTGAATCATTTATATTATTTTCAATTTTATCAATTTTAGAATTATCATATCTTCTAAATTTATTTTATTTATTATTTATTATTTATTTATTATTTGATCAAATATCGTTGTGTTAATATTTATTTTATTAATTTTTGATTCAAATATTATTTGTTTTCTTCTTTCTTCACTTTCTTCTATTCATTTTATTTAATATTTTATTGTTGTTATTCATCTCATTCTTTCTAATTTATCTTCTTCTTTCCTCTTCTTCTCAAAATATTCATCATAATATATTTTCATTTCTTCTTTCTTGATCATTTTTTATTTGAAATGATTTTATTTATTAGTTTATTTAATGTTTTAATTAATATTTATTATATGAATTATATTATTCTATTCTTTTTATTTTTTATTATTTTATTTATTGTTTGTTTCTTGTTTTTGATATTTTTATTCTATTTCATTAATTTATTAATTATTCTTTCTCTTTTTTAATAGCTTGTTTATATATTTCATTATCTTTCAATTATTTATTTTTTAATACACTTTAAATATTAATGATAATATTTATTAATATCATCAATTGTTTGTTGAATATTTGAAATATTTTTACTTCTTCTTTATACAATGAGTAATCTTGTTTATTAACTCTTCAATTTTAATTTAATAATTATAATAATAAAATAAGAATCATAAATAATTAAATACATTTTTATAACAATTTTATTTATTATTTTATTTATTATTTTATTTATTATTTTATTTATTATTTTATTTATTATTTTATCATTCTTTATTTTATTCATTAAATATTTTCTCTTTTCTTTTTATTTTTTATTATTTTGATTATATATTAAAATTATTATTATTTATTATTTTTTATTATTTTTTATTATTATTGTTATTTATCTATAATTATAATTAATTAATATTTATTATATTTTATTTTATTATTCATTTTTATTTTCTATTTTTTTATTTTTAATTTCTTTTTCAATTCTTATTTATTAATTTTATTGTAAAACATCATTCATTCTTTATTTATTCTTTTTTGTATCTTTCTTATTTATTGTTCTTTATTTTTTATACCTTTTGTTTACTTCTTTCTTTTCTTTATTATCTTTTTTTGTTCTTTACTTGATTTCTTTCTTTAACTTTCTCTATATTCATTTTATTTTATTTTGAATATACTTTTCTTCTAATTATTATTTTTCTTTATCTCTTATTTTGTTTTCTTTTATTTCTTTTTATTTTCTTTGTTAATGTTTTTTATTTCTTATTTGTGTTATCTATATTATCTTTCTGTTCACTCCATTTTATATTCTTATTCTTATTCTCTTTTAATCCCTTTTTCTATTCCTTTCTTATTATACATTTACTACTACCTCTTCATTATTCTATATTCCCTTGAATGGTAATGTCATGTTTTGTTTTCATTATAATACTTATGAATATTATCAAGAATGAATCAATAAAAATTGTTATCCCTTACAATGAAAAAATCTGAAATAAAAGAGAAAAAAAAGAAAAAAAAAAGAAAAATAATAAAGAATGGAGGAAGTTACAATAGACAATGGAATGATAATTGAAGAAGAAGCTATTGAAGGACTTCACTTGTTTGGAGATAAAAAAGAAATGACACTATTTAAACATTTAAATAGAACACATACAAAGATAGGAGAAAAGATGATAAAAGAATGGATTAGACAACCATTAATAGATAAGGATAAGATAAATAAACGACTAGAATTAGTAGAAGGGTTTTATGAGAACTCAGAGATTCGATTAAAAATCAAAAATGAAGAATTAGCAATAATGCCAGATTTAGAGAAGTTAATAAAAGGGATAAATAAAAGTGATTTAGAAAGTATTGTCAAATTATATGAAGCAGTAAGAATTAGTAAAAGTATCAAAGAAGAATTAAAAGAAATGAATAACAAAGAAATAGAAAAAGAAATAATAGAACCATTAGAAAGAATTTCAGAAGAAATGGAAAAATTTGAAGAAATGGTAGTAACACTTATTGACATTGAAGAAACAAAAAATCATGTATTTAAAATAAGAGAAGACTTTGATGAAGGACTTCAAAAAATAAGAGAAAATCATAAAAAAGTAGAAGAACTTTTTGAAAAATGTTTAGAACAAGCAGCAAATGATCTTAATATTAAAACAGATAAAATTAAAATAATTGAACATAATAATAATTTAATATTAAGAGTATCTAAAAGTAATGAAAAAGAAGTTAAAAAGAATAAAAAGTATACTATTATTCAAACACTTAAAGGAGAATGTAAATTTACATTTAAAGAAATGCAAACACTTAATGTTAAAAGAGATAAACTTAATTTAAAAGAAGAAGAAATTAATAAAAAATTTATAGAAGAAATTAATAAAGTAATTGAAGGATATAAAGAAACATTTAAAGAATTAGAAAATATTATTGGATATATTGATTGTATTCAATCATTTGCTACAGTTTCTAATGATAATAATCAAGGATATGCTAAACCAAGAATATATGAAAGTGAAAAAGGAATTATTAAAATTAAAAAAGCAAGACATCCATTAATTGAAAATAATAGTATAAATACATTTATTGAAAATGATATTGATATTAATAGAAAAGAAACAAGATTTCAAATTATTACAGGACCAAATATGGGAGGAAAATCAACATATTTAAGAATGATTGGATTATGTGTTATTATGGCACAAATTGGAATGTTTATTCCATGTTCAGAAGCAGATATTTCTATTTGTGATAAAATAATGTGTAGAATAGGAGCAGGTGATAATATTGTTGAAGGAATGAGCACATTTATGTCAGAAATGAAAGACACATCAGAAATTATTAAAAAATCAACAAAAAATTCATTAGTTCTTATTGATGAATTAGGTAGAGGAACATCAACATATGATGGATTTGGAATTGCTTGGGGAATTTCAGAATATTTAGCTATTGATATTGGATGTTATTGTGTTTTTGCAACCCATTTTCATGAAATTACAGGATTAGAAAAAAGAGTAAATGGTGTTATAAATAAACATGTTGAAGCTGATATTATTGATAAACAACTTGTATTAAAATATAAAATTAAGAATGGAAGTACTGATCAAAGTTTAGCAATTTATGTTGCTGAATGGGCTGATTTCCCTCATGAAGTTGTTGAATCAGCAAAAAGAAAAGCAAAAGAACTTGATTTAGATCAACCTGATTCTAAAAAGAAAATTGAAATCTTTACTAATAAAATCCCTCTTTTAAATGATGAAATTCCACAAATCACTCCTGATGATATTGTTAAAGGAAAGTCTATTATCAATAATTTTATTCACGAATATAAATCTACTTCTTCTGATCAATTAATTTCTCTTCAAAATAAATATTATCAATTACTTCTTTCAAATCCTTTTTTAAAACAACTTGAACAAATTTCACTGAAATAAAATTAAATAATTTATTTAGTGTATTATTTTTTTATTTCTTTTTATATTATATATCCTTTCATCCCTCTAGACATGGTAAGTGGAAGAACTATACTAATCAACAAATGAGGTGATAGGAATGATGTCACTAATTATCGTCCTATCAGTTGTACAAATGTAATAATGAAAGTATTTACCTCCATATTAAAAGATAATATTCATAATAGAATTAATAAGATTAATGAATCATTAAAAATTAGTAAAAATCAGTTGGGATGTAAACTGCAATCTCTTGCTGATAAAGAAGGATTAATTAATAGTTATATGTCAAAGCAGCAAAAAGAAGAGAAATACCCAAAATATGTAGAGTCATATTATGACATTAAGAAAGCATATGACTCAGTAAATCATGAATGGGTAATAGAAGCACTTAAATATTTTAATGTAGAGGGTATCATCATAGACATTGTAGAAAGTATGATGAACAGATGGAAAATATTCATATGATATAAATATAATGAATATCTAGGATGTATTAAATTGATGAATTTTACAATGTGATTCATTATCATTTCTACTCTTCATCATCAAAATGAATATAATTTCTCATTTCATAGAAGAGAAGTTCCCAAAAGCAAACCATACATTGTATATGGATGATTTGAGAATAATGACACAAAGTAGTGAAGAAATGGGAACAATCCACAATGAAATTAAACAAATAATAAGTGGAATAGGGATGGAAATGAAAATAAATCAGGAATGGTATTAAAGAACATTAATAAAATACCAGATTGAATGCAAAACATCCCATTAATTGAAGGAGAGGACTTGTATAAATATTTAGGTGTATAGCAGTCCGATGAAATTAATGATATATTCAATTGTAAAATCATCAAATAAAAGATGATGATGAAAATGGAAGAAATAAATAGTGATGAAAGTATTAATAGAAGATATATTACAAGAATTAATATTGAAGTAATACCCATCTTCAGATATTCAGCATCAGTAGTAAATTGGAATGTAACATAGATAGAATGGATTTTGAGATAAGAAAATATTTAAGAAAGGCAAAATACAATAGTTGTAACTCCAAAGCCATCTATATGTCAATATAAATGAAATGGGTGAAGGATTAATAAGCCTAAAGGACGAATATGGTAATGAACTAATTAGAACAGTAATGTACTATTGTACAAGAGGTGAAATAAGAAATAACATAATAGATAGATGGTATTCCAAGAAATGAATATGGAATAGAATTAAAAAATCACTAAGTCATAAAATCACAGAAACGAAAATAGAAGAAATAATAAATGAAATGAAAATAAAAAAGAAAAAGAAGTAGTATTAAAAATAAATAAAATAATGACCGACCAATACATCAAAAAATGGAAGTCCCATCAAACAAGTTGACATTTTAGAAGATGATTCGAGTCAAAATTTGTAGATAAAATACTACAATAAATGCATGGAAGTCCATCAATATTAAGAAAAATTCATTTCTCCAATTAACTAAAATACAAGATGGAGTAATATTTAGTGGGTACAGGAAAGATAAAATATTAAAAAATGAAAGATTAAAGTACTGCCCACTTTGTAAAGACAAGATAGCCACAGTAGAACACATTCTACTATCTTGTATTTGTCATAAGAAATCACAAATGGAGAAACATGACCATATTGGCATTATCATATTAGATAATAAGAAAATACACATGAAATAAACAATACAAGAAATCAACATATGAAACAGTGTTCCAATACAATGACATCACTATGATATGGAACAAACAAATAATGCCAAAAAGTGATGGACTATATCATAAAATATCAGATATATATGTAATAAATAAAAAGAATAAAACTGGTCTAATAATTGATATGACTATTGTGGCAGATCACAATATTAATGGAGGGTATTGGAAGAAAAGAAACATGTACAAGGAATTGAAAAATATGGTAATGAAAATAGATAAACTAAAAGATGTCAAAATAATTCCAGTAGTAATTTGGATTAATGGGTTAGTAAATGAGGAAAGTATTAAATTAATTAAACAATTAAAAATCGAAATTTACAACTAAAGAAATTAAAAACCTTGTAATTAAAAACATGATGGATGTCATAGAACACTGTTTCTACCACAATCAAACATATGTTGTTGAACTACATGACGAAGAAGAAGGGATGAGATAGTCTCCCTGAGTCAGGAACATCAGACACAAGTTCTATTAATACTTAATTAACTCCTTTGTATTTCTCCTTCAATTTTCTTACATACTTTACTTCTTCATTCTATCTTCTCATTTTTCATTTTTAGAATATTTCTTTTTATCTTTTAAGGATTTTTTACTGTCTATACGCATGTATTAATTTCTTTTCTGAAGGTAATATTATTTTTTTTTTCAAAATGAATACATTGTTCATTTGATATTACCAGATAGTGTCATTCTCTTATTATTACATTTAATATTTATTTTATTCTATTTCTTGTTTTTCTTAAACATTTCAAAGAGGGTTTACTATTTTCCATTTTCTATATTCATATACAACATGCATCATTGTTAAGTGACTATTCTATTCTTCTTTTATTATTTGTATTCCTCCGTTTTAGATAATTATTCAATATAACTCGTTATAATTATTGTAATTTTTATAACCGTTTTGTGATGTTAAGTTCTAATTTCTTCTCTAAAGAAAAAATGAATAATAAAAAATAGAACACATAAAACTTCAAACAATAATAATAAATGATAAAATAAAATGATAAGTACAAAACATGAGTATTGACATTATAGTGTTAAATAACCTATTGCAATAAACAAAATGAATAATACAAGAAGATAACAGAATGACCTTGAAAATATCATATAATCATTTAATGAATTTCATTATTATGTTATATATAACACTCTAATAAAAAGTACTGAAATCTTGAATGTGTTATTGTGAATTGAGATGGGTCAGTCAATTGTGAAGATGTTGACATTCACCCCACCCCCACCGTCCTACTTCAACCATAACTTTATGATGATTAGAAAGAGAAATCGTGATGGACATATTCCAGTTGCAATAGTGAAAGAGAATGACGAATACACGTTTGTTGATGTTAAGTTAGCATGAGAAGAAGACTAATAGATAGGAGGTGCTGGACAATAGTCTACAGTCATGGAAATTCACAAGATTTAGGTATGTGTTTACCATTCATAGAAAATCTAGCACATCAACTAAAATGTAATGTTGTTGGATATGATTACACAGGATATGGTAGAAATGAGGGAGAAAGCAGTGAAATAAATAGTGTAGAAGATCTTAGGGATGTGTGTAATTATCTGCACAACAACGGAGTATCATGGGAACGAATAGTGTTAATGGGACACTCTCTTGGAGGAGGAGTGAGTATTTCATTTGCAAGTCAGGAATGTGGGAAATGGGAAGAGGTACAAGAGATTGAAATGAATGAAAGTTTTGAAAGTAAAGAAGAAAAGAAAGAAGAAGAAATAAAGGAACAAAAGATAGGGGGAATGATTATTATCTCAACATTCACAAGCATTTGTGGAGTAGTAAGTAAATATGCAGGAATGGTAATAAATGATATGTTTGAAAATATAACAAAATTGAAACACATTAATATTCCAGTTGAAGTAATTCATGGGAGAGAGGATGAATTGATAGGAGTTGATGAGTCAGTAGAAATCTACAATTCAATTCCAGAAGAGATGAGATATGGATATGATATAATCAACGGATGTAGACATAATGACATTCTTGAAAATGAAGAATTAATTAAAGTAATCAAAAGATTTCTTGAAAAACTTTAAGAAAAACCAACACCAAAACGAAATAGAAAATATAACACAAGAAGATAACAATAGAAAGAAAGTTAAAACATAACAAAGGCCGTTGTTGATATTAAAGAGATAGATACAAACAGAAATGACATGAAAAGAACACTTGACAAATATACAGGGATGATTGTATCAACATATTTTGAAAATATTAATGACTTTATTAACTTTGAAATGACATGCAAAAAGTATGAAGGGAACATGGAAAAATTTCATTTTAATCCAATTCCAATTACCATAAAAACAAGAAGATACTTTCCTAATATTGAAACACTTCATTTAAGAAAAGAAAATGAAGAAAAAATAGAAGGAGGAAAAATCAATAAGAAAGTTATATGGTATAAAAAAACATATAGTGATGCAATTGAAGAAATAAATAAAGGAAATGAATGTAAAAATATTTGTTATACAAAAGAAGATAGAAAAAAATATGGAAATAATGTTCCTAAGAATGTAAATATTTTAGAAAATGAATGTTATAGTCATTGTATTGATTTAGAAACAGTAACAATTCCATCAAATGTAAAATCAATTGGATATAAATGTTTTTGTGGTTGTACTTCATTAAAATCAATTAATATTCCACAAAGCGTAACACTAATCGGTGATAAATGTTTTTTATATTGTATTTCTCTTACATCAATTTCACTTCCACAACACAATAGAATGTTAGATTGGATGTGTTTCTATGGTTGTGATAAATTAACAAGACTAACATTTAAATCATCTGTTTAATTAAATTCATTTCTATTTATTAAATCTATTTTATTTCATTAAATATTGATATCTACAATAAATCAATTTTCTTTCTATTATATTTTAAGTAATATAAAATAATAAAGATAATGAAATTTATTTATTAATTCTTTGATTATAATACTTGATAATTTAAGTTTACAATCACGAAATAAAATTAATAAGAAAAATATTAAAAGAATTAGAACAATTTAATGATTACTTATCTACATCAAATTATAAAAGACGAGCAATGAAATAATTTAAAATACTGTTTAATGGAATTATTGGTTTAAGTTAAAGTGATGAAAAATATTCAAAACATAAAATAGTCAGAAACGTTGAACTACAACTAAACTATTCAAAATTAATCTATAACCTATACCAAGTGAAGATATTTTAGTGCTTGTTCACCTAATCAGGTAATAATCACTTCTAATTTACTTGACGACGAAAATGTATTGGTAAGGATTGGACATATTAGTTACTTTTTCAAAGACTTTAAAAACTCATTAAAAAGAAGTTGTTGAACCAATACATTTAATGAATTTCAAGATATGAAGAAAAGAAAGATGAATGATAAGTTCATTCAAAAAGTAAAATATATTACTTATTTCGGATAACTCCAGAAGAAATAATTAATGTCATATTACTCAAGGCATTGGAAGTGAATTAAAGAAAAAGTATGATAAAGAGCTTGCAAAATAATCGATGAAGAATTTAATACAGCGAATAACAATAAACCAATGCACTAAGGAGAATGAATAACTCATTAAATTTTTGATAGAAGATAGGTCAAAACACTAAAAAGAAAATTGTTGTAATTATTAGTTGTTCTACTAAATGTCTGATTAAAAAAGAAATACAAACACTCATCAAATGCTACAAATTAAAAAAGAAATAATGAAAGAAACATTAGAACTAAGACCTCAACAATTGAGACATTATTTTTAAATTTGTTATCTCAATATAAACAGTCAAAAATTATTTAGAAAATAGTGTTTATTAGTATAGTTAATATAATTGATATCAATAATGAAGAGGATAGAAAGTGTAAAATTTTTGAATGAACTTTTGTGATTGAATTACAATTTATTTCCACCACTGGAGTTTTTATACAAAATGAAAATACATGACCAATTGAAACATTTCAACTGCTGTAATTTATCAAATCTTTGTACTATCTATAACACACACACACACACACACAAATGAGATACATTAACAGCACATTAAATAATTAAAAGTATGACAACAGCTTCTCTTAAATTTCAGTCAATAAATGATTTGAAAAATCTTAAAAGTTTGTGGTGTTAAGAGGCTAAAAACAAAGGAAGTGAGTTTGTAAATTAGAGAAAAAAACATAAGTAAAACATAAAAGATGTATATATATTCCAATTGAAATAATAAAGAAGAATTTTACGAATAAAAGATTAAAAAGAAACAAATACAATTTAAGGAAGTTTATTTTTAAATTAAAGTCCATTAGGGAAATCAAGATAAAGTTCCAATGCAACAACAGGGTTATCAACTTCAAAGTTTTTAAGTACTTCAGGATGTAATACACCAAACATACCATATTTAACTCCATTAATCATGATATCAGCTCTTCTTCCTTCCATGTAAGCAGGGTCATTACCAGGGACAATGTCATAATGTGGTCCACCTTCTTTTCTTGGGTTTTTATATCCAATACCATAACAGAACATAATTTTATCTAATAACCCATGAATTTCTTCCATTAATCCAGTTGGAGAACAGACTAAAGCACATACTTGTTGTCTATTAACTGCTCCTGTTAAACTACCTTCTTTTAATGAGACAGTATCACCAACTTCAAACATTCTAATTGGCATTGGATATGCTTTATTATAATATAAACATTTCATCATTCCTGATAATAAACTTTTTCTTGCTGTTTGGAATTCAAGTGTTTTTGAATCTTTTAATTTAATTAATCCTTCTTCTGGTCTTCTTAAATTTGTAGCTGCATCAGCTATTGACATTAATACAAAAGTAATAACTTCAGTATATCCTGCATATGCAATTTCA